AAGTTGTTCATATAAATCGTCTGGCGCAGAAAGAAAGTTCAACAAGGAGTTCAATCAACGCAACGCATTAGCTGTTAGTTCCAAAACAATTTATTTTAAAATTTGTAGAAATGCGATTTTTATTTGAAGAAAATGTCAAATTTCTTAAGAGGATAGTCTAAGTAGGATATGTTAATTATTATTTTTTGATCAGATTTACAGCAAATTTACCACAAATTTTTTTTCGGAAATTATGTTTTAAAATAATTTTAATTTGTTGCTATAGAATTCGTAACGAAATGTAAAAAATGTACTTACAATTTTTCTGCAAGCTGCGCAGTAAATTTTATCATTGTAAAAATATAATTATTTGTAAGATTTACTCCAACCAGAAACACTGTTCACTTTCAGCATAATAAAAATTTCGGTTATGCACAAAAATAATTAATTAAATAACAATTTTAAAACTTTCTTCAGAACAAATGTCTGGACTTTAGAGCAAATATTTAACTGTGATGAGACAGGCCTTAATTTAAAATGCTTCCTTCGAATACACTGGCTGCTAAAAATGAAGAAACTACACCAGGTTACAAGAAACAACAATGCTTTTGATTCATTAAAATTAAGACTTCTTAAAAAAATCCAAAAATCCAAGGGCATTCAAAAATATTCAAGTGAATTGCTTACCTACAATCTATAAAAACCAACCCAATGCATGGGGGAACTGTAATATTTTTAAGAACTGGTTTTTAATGACTGTACTAGTCATTGATGCCGACCTAAAAACCAAAAATCTGCCTCCGAAAGCTTTATTGTTACTGGAAAACACGTGATCCCACCCAGACGCGAGTGAATTTATTAGTGGTGACATAAGAGCTGTGTTTCTTCCAACGTCTTTCATCCAACTCCTAGACCAAGGCGTTATGTCAGACTCATTCAAGTTAGACGTTTCACTTTCTGTTTCCTTAGCACTTGGTGGCTCTTCTTCACTGTCGCTTTCAGTTTCATCAGGTTGCTGAGCTACAACACTTTTTCCTGACTCAACGTTTAGTTGGGTTCGCTTAATATTTCGTCTGGATGGTGCAGCTGAATATCTTTTCTACTTTAGATAATGTACCAGAAGGTTGTCAATTTGGCCCTCTATTCCTTCATCTTCTCTAGGTATATTATTTAAAACTTTCTCGGGAGAGAAAGGATAAATTCCCGGGGCTGCAAAGGAGGAAACAATAATTCGTTTTATAGTGCTGTTTTCGTCCTCTGTTTTTGTTTTTTTGTCCATGTGCTGAACGGTACTGTTTAACAAGTTTGGAAAATCTTTCTTATCTATTGTGTTTAATGTGGGGTGACAGTTATTAAAATCACTAAGAGCTTCCCTCCAAGCCATTTGAAAGGGACGGAAAACACCGACATCAAGTGGTTAGGTCAAATGTGTTGAGTTTTGATCAAACATATAAAGCCCACATTGTTTTGTTCGCATACAGATATCACCTCATCGGTAAAATGTGGTTAAAGGTTATCTCCTATGATGATTTTTCGCCCTTCAAGACGTTTTGCATGTGATAAAAAGGTCAAAGTAAACAAATCCGTAAATGTCTGTGAATCTATCCATCCATGATGGGTGCGATTGTATTGAAAATCTACAGAGCAGCATCTGTCAGTACAGCAAGGTGATACTTTTGGACCATTTTGAGTCCACATTTTATCTACTTTATAAATTATATATGGTGGTAACAGAAATCCTGAAGTCGAAACACACATCATTATGGCCGTTGCTGCTTTAGTAAAATTAAAAACCCGTTCGAGATATTTGTTCCCGCTTTGAAATATCATTTTCTTATTTCCGGGGTTATCTTGTACATTGGTCTCGTCGTAATTGAATATATGTTATTAGGAGGAATATTTTCTAATTCTCTAAGCAGATTTTCGAAGTAGGCAACTAAAGTTTCTTTTGAAATATAAGTGCCGTAAGGAAACGTTCGAAATAGTTCCTTTTTTTCTTTTAATTACTTTGGTGTATCTAACCAGAAAGTTAACTTCCATACTTTTTTCAATAAAAATAGTTTTTTTAAATTGTTCACTGAGCTCAATAAAAACACTTTTTCTCCTGACTTCATGTTTCGAGATACTTTATAACAGCGATAGAATAGAAGTGTTGTATTACATTATACTGTTCTTGTTAACACATTGTGACATTTTATAACTTTTCAATGTTTGTATAAATTTTAAATAAAATTCTGAATGTAATTTTTTTTACCATAACTTTTATTGTATTTATTTAATGTATTTTATAACATCGCAACATATGCATTTGACATTGTTTGACATCTATATATGACTTCACAATTATTAGAACTGAAGAAGTGCAGAAATTCTGCACGAAACGTTGTTTTCTATTAAAAGATTGAAATAGTTTTATATATTACAGGATCCAACTTGTAAATACAATACGTTTTGGAGACGGCTGACGCCGTTTTCCCGTTCTCCTCCGCCAATACTCCTGGTCCAAGGCATGCTCCACCTCCACACCTCTCGATTCCATCGCTCTTCCAATTCCTTCATTCCATGAGCGTCGAGGTCTACCTCTTTTTCTTCTTCGTCTATCTGTGAAGTTTTTGGCAATAACTTTCGTTAGTCATTATCAATAGGTGACTAATATGCTGACTTGTAACCCCTATTTTACATATTCTCTGTAGAGACATTCTTCTCATTATATTTCCTTTAAGTTGAGCCCATATTAACTCTATTGGGTTCAATGTACAATAATAAGGAGGAAGTCTAAACACAGTATGCCCGTTACTACGAGCACAGTTGTCAACAACATATTCCTTTTCGTACTGTTTACTATGAACAACCTCCAACAATGGCTTTTTAATATAAGATGTCTCAAAATACAAATCTTCCGTGAATAAAAATTCCTGAATTTTTAATTTATTCCATCTATTATTTGAAGTTTTTTTCATTAATCTTGAATGATATGATGCGTTGTCCATGATAATCACACTATCTTTAAGTAATTTCGGAAGAAGACATTTTTCAAACCATGATTCAAAAATTGAACTTTCCATATCGTCATGATAATCCAGAGACGCGTTCTTAATTTGTTTTGCAGATATTAATAATGCATTGTCGACCCATCCATTTTCTCCACCGCAGTGTAAAATTATAATCCTCTTTCTTTTATTGGGCGGTACTGAGTTGAAACACTTTTTGTTATTATTTGTCCAACTTTTTTTTCACGGTGTCATGAGTATCATACCAGGTCTCATCTAAATAAACAATATTTCGTTTCATTTTTCAATACTCAGTTATCTGTCTGATATAATTGTTTCGTAAAGAAATTATTCTAGTACTTTCCATTAATGTATGTCTCTTTTCTATAGTTTTGTACTTAAAATTATTGGCTTTAAGAAATAATCGAAGTGTTGTTGCTGAACACGAGAGAATGCACTTTCGAACTAATTCACTTCGAAGGCTTTCAATAGTTGGAAAAATATTAGCCGCATACATTTGATATATTGTTCTAGTTATAGATTCAATTAAGTGCGGTTCTATTTTTTTTGAATTTGCCACAATTCTTTCTCTTCTGTCTAGAAGATGTTTCTCCTATAATTTTGTAGCAGGTTGCTTTGGGCACTCTGGTTAAAAAACATGTTTCTGCAATTGCCTCTGATTTAGACAATTCAGCACACACACAGCACACTTCATAAACATTTTTTAGCATACGTTTGGCATCATCAGAAAGGTATTGAAAATGTCGCTTTGAAGAACACTGAAAAAAGTCACTACCAAACTAACTTGCGGTTCACTATTTGAAATTTGAATTTAACTGAACACTGTAGCAGTTATGATTTTACTAAAAATATTCTTGTCTCCCAAAAATCTGTTGGTCATATCGGCAATTTAAAAATAAAATATTATAAAAATTTGCCTACCTAAGTTTTCCCCGTCCCGTGCCTTCGGCACTGGACGGTCGAAACCTGATCCCTTATTTTATGACTCCGTAGGCTCAGTCAAATACTGATATAATCTTACCCCAAGTATGAATAACTCTACCGACAAAAGATAATGCATTATGATTTGTCATTATAAGCGATATCCGATGTTTTCATTGGCCGTTAGTCCACGTGGACTTATCATAAGTTCGAAGAAAACTTAATTGGTTGATTGTTCATATCTGGTTCATATTTTAAAAGATTATACCAGGCACGTCTGAATGTTAATATCGAGTGGAATCTGGAAACTTTGTATTATTATACGTCTGAGTCATTGATAATTTTACAGACTCCTGGTAGAGTACCTTTTTGTTGAATGATTTTATTACAGATACATATATTTTTGCACAGTCTCACGGACATACGAGGCTACTTTACCAGGGTACTCTCAAGCATACAGAAGAAAAGAAAAGGACTTACAAGATCTTCTGGATTATGTACCCATGCCTCACAAGCGTGCTTTACAAGAAGTTATTAGTGGAGGAAATTAGTACAACTAAAGTCACATTATTTGTGAATTTTGCAAATTATTTTACTGCTATTAGCTTCCACATACTTTGTTAACAAAACTATGTTTATTTTTGTAGAATAAAATATATTAATCCCCTTATCTTTTCATTGTATTAAAATCTTGCAAAATCCTCTTTTAATAACGGTCTAGTTTTATTGGATTAAGCCACAATTGGTTGTGGCTTAATTTTCATATTAAAATTGATGAATCCATAGATGAGAGTCTTTTGTAATATCTCATACTGCCTATTTTGACTGTAAAACCCGTCTTTACAGTTATGTCGAGTAAAAAATCTAACTTAATTGGCATAGAAGGCCGAAGACCAAGAGATCTTCAACATGATGGGCAGACAAATGAAGACTTTGGTTGGAAAATCCATATAGAAATCCGTCTATCTGGCACAGGATCGCAGCGAATGGAGTCAGCAAGCTAACAATAGAGTGTCACCACACATTGACAAGGGCTCGAGGAATGAGGAGGTAATCAACATAATACATAAAAGAAAAGTAACATAAATTGCAATTAATCTCCTTTAATATATATTGGCAAAATATAACTTCTTACATTTTGAACATATAATAATAGCATACTTAAAGCATGCAGTGTTACTTTTATAAACGAATTAAATAAGTACATAATTTAAAATAATACTTAAAAAAATAAAAATACTTTGGGTGTGCGTCTTTTGTCTCCAATATTAGTAATTTTCAAAACTACGGCCCAAAGTTCGAACATGAAATCCAATTTGAATCAGTGCTTGATGATCAAGTATTTTTCTTCCATCAAATACGTACGCAGGCTTCATCATACTGGAATAGATTCTTTTGTAATCTAGAGCCTGAAAAATATAGAAGTTAGTTTTGCAGTAAACTATTTAAACAGCGTATATATATTTAGATTATATCATATTCTCGAAACTTCAGCAATAGCGTCATCGGTAATAGTAAAATACATAAGGGACGACAATAGTAACTTATGGTAGTATTCTACGATCCAAGAGAGAACTACAGTTGGGATGACAAAAAATCTTCTACTGGACGGTAATATTTTTTTATCTGTGAAATATGATAACATTTTTAAAATATTAACACATTGGCTCCCATGTGTATACATATAATTCCAGAAATATTTTCACCACAATCCATATCCGATACACACGAAACAGCATTCAAGTGGATATGTATCTTATATGAACACACTTGCCATGCGTTTATATGGATGTTTGCATACCTCTGGGCTGTAGAACACTGGGGAATGCAGTGTGGTGCATTGTTTTCTGTTAGAAATATTGTCTAATAGTTCGAGGAAAGCCTCTCTCAATAAAACCTATATTTTCTGTAGTATTTTGGGTTTTTTCTATAAAAATGACTGAGAAGAATGCATTAATTATAATATACAGGGATTACAATTTTTTTGCCATTTCAAATGTGTTTATTTCTGACACACACGGGCTACGATGAAAGGATCATATGTGTATCAGAAATAACAGAAGTTTTGTTTTTTTTTTAAAGCGTATAACTTTTTTTAGAGATGCGCTGCATTTTTTCTTTTTAATTTGTGTATTTTATCAAAAACTAAATTTTTGATTTTTTTTTCAGGTTTTTCCGTAAGGTGCGCCACCCTTAAAAACCCGGAAAACGGTTTTTAGGGTTTTTTTTTGGATTTTCCCCATTTGATAGACTTCAAAATAGTCATTTCGGACATTCAAAAATTGGACAAAACACGTTGAAATTTCCAAAAACGATGTTTTAATTGTTTTTTGCGAAGCTAATCATATTTTTTGATATCAATACAACCTGACTCCATTTTTACCGTTTTGTGATTAAAAAATAAAACCCAGCGCAATTTTAACCCGTCACTCCTCCCCCTGGCCCCAAAAACAACGTCATTATGAATTTTTTTTCAGTGGGTTGCAATTAATTTAAAGGTTTGGCACGCATAGTTGAGGCTTTTATAAAACTTGTATATTTTTATAGACCCGTAGGTTACTCAAGTATATATCTAGAAGATCTAATTTTCCCCATTTTATAGACTTCAAAATAGATCAAATATTTGTTTTTTATAGGTTATATATAATTTGAAGTAACTGAGTCCTTTAGCACATTCAAAAATTGAGCAAAACAAGTTTAAACCCTCAAAAACTAAGTTTTTTCAAGGTTTTTAAGAGTTTAGGGGGGGGGGTAATTATATTTTTTGAGATCTATACAACCTGAATATTTTTTTTTTCATTTTTTTTTACGTTTTATGCAATTAAACGGCGTTAAAAAATTGATACTTCAAATTATATATAAAGTATAAAAAAACCTTGATTTGATCTATTTTGAAGTCTATAAAATGGGGAAAATCCCCCAAAAACCCTCAAAAACCAGCTTTTCAGATTTTTAGAGGTGTCTATAAAAAATAGACATGTTTGTTTTGTAAAAGCCTCATCTATGCCTGTTAATTTTTAAATTAATTGAATCCCGCATAAAAAAAATAAAAACTGGAAAATTACGTTTTTGGTGCTAGGAAGGGATGGCGGGTTAAAATTGTGTTGAGGCTTATTTTTTAATCACATATACCGAGTGAAGGCTCTTCTGGGAGTGAGGACATGTTGCTTATCTTAACGGGATGTACGCTTTCCACTTCCCATCATATATGAAATATTAGCAATTATTAAGAGATGAGACAGTAATTATATTAAATAAATATATCAAAGCAAAAGATCTAAAAAAATACGAGACACAAATTCAAATATAACATTAAACCGTTGGCAAAATTACACAGAAACGAACAATTTTTGAAAATAATAATTAGAAAAAATAACAAATATAAATCAGCATATTAATCTGTTTATCATTATTTTAAAGAATTACTTTCACAACAAAAACTATTGAAATAAAAAGAATTCGTTTCAAGACAACTTTAGCATCCATTTCAAAAGCACACATTGTGGATGATATAAAGTTGAATGTTTTCTTAATAATGGAAAAACATTCTCCATTGTATAATTAATTTGTCGTGTAATGATTTTAAGTATTTCTTATGGAAATGGATTTGTATATGATTTGTTTTACTTAATTATATATTGATGGTTTTTATATTATTAACACGTTAAACGCCACAATTCATAGTAAAAGTTGAGTGGGCCAAAATATTAAATACAGGGTGTTTCAAAAAGGTATATCATAAATTAAATTACGCATTCCACAGCCCTTTGAAGTTACAAAATAAAAATTGTTTTTTTTGCATTATCTCCTAAACTACTTGACATTTTGTAATAAACATGGACACGTTACTTTCTTGTTCTAAAAGCATTTTTCATACAAAATCTAAGCGCACAGAAAAATTTAAAATCATTAGTTTAATTATTTTTAAAACTTTTTTGCCTTTTGTCACTTTCAAAAAACTAGTTTTTTCCTAGTTGGCCATAAAATTACAATTAGTTTCTACAGATACAATAATTACAAACAGTTCCATCAATAATAGTCAATAATTTAAAGCTATCTATCATTTATTGTGTGAATAAGATTAATATTAAAAATTTTGATATTACAATGGTCTAAACATTTCAGGAAATGGCAGATATGCATTTAACTTTGGGTAAGTTGGATCAGATTAAATTATGATTTCAATAAACTATCGGGAATATCGTAGGTGAATGTCAAGGAAATAGTGTAGCAGCCGCAAGGCGTTATGCAGTAAAATACACCAATCGAAATACACCCCATAGACGATTATTTCTGACCATTGATTGTAGTTTACGGGAAACGTTTACATTCCAACCGCAAGTTGCTGGCAATAGTGGTCGTCCAATAATGAATGCAACTGATAAAGACATTTTAGAAATCATTGAAGGAGTCCCTGGAACAAGTACAAGGGTAATGGCTGCTCAACTAAATGTTCCTTACGTAAGGGTTTGGAGTCGTTTGAAGGATTAGCTGCTTAAACCCTATCACTTAAGAACGGTTCAAAAGTTATTGGTTGAAGATGATCCTAAAAGGATTGGATTTTGCGATATTGTTAATGGAAAACACTCGAAATATTAATTTGATTAGAAATATTTTGTTTACCGAAGAGGCTACCTTCAGTAGAAATGGAATAACAAATCATCATAACGAGGACATTTGGGCCGACGAAAATCCTCACGCCAAAAAAAACGACTCATCACCAAAGGACTTTCAAAGTTAATGTTTGGGCAGGAATTCTGGATAACAATCTAACAGGCCCAGTATTGCTTCCCAACAGTTTAATTGGTGATAATTATTTGCAGTTCTTGACAAACGATTTACAAGAATATTTGGAAGAAGTGAATATTGCAATAAGGCGTTATGCAGTAAAATACACCAATCGAAATACACCCGATAGACGATTATTTCTGACCATTGATCGTCGTTTAAGGGAAACGGGTACATTCCAACCGCAAGTTGCTGGCAATAGTGGTCGTCCAATAATGGATGTAACTGATGAAGACATTTTAGAAATCGACGAGGCTACCTTCAGTAGAAATGAAATAACAAACCATCATAACGAGCACATTTGGGCCGACGAAAATCCTCACGTCAAAAAAAACGACTCATCACCAAAGGACTTTCAAAGTTAATGTTAGGGCAGAAATTGTGGATAACAATCTAATGGGCCCAGTATTTCTTCCCAATAAATTAAATGGTATATAAATTTAAAACGATTTATAAGAGTATTTGAAAGAACTGAATATTGCAATAAGGCAAAATATGTTGTTGATACAAGATGGCGCTCCACCGCATTACAGTAATGAAGTCCGGGAATACCTTTGCAGGCAGTATCCTGGTCGGTGGATTGGAAAGGGTCGTGAAGCACCTATTTCTTGGCCACCCAGAAGTCCAGATCTTAACCCCATGGACTTTTGCTTTTGGGGGTTTATGAAAGAGAAACTGTATTCTGTAACAATAGAGGACGAACAACAATTGAGGGTTAGAATAATTGAAGCTGCAAATCAATTTCGTCAGAAAAATATGATTTTTCAGCGCATTCGGTTTTCCTTATTAAAACGATACAGAATGTGTATTGAAGAAAATGGGGGTCATTTTAAACATTTATTGTAATATCATATTGTACTTGTTAACTCATTTAAGCCATTTATTTAGTTGCACGTAATTTTTTAAAGGTTAATGAAAAGGGCCGTAACTCAATAAAAACTGTTTTTTGAAAAAAAATGATGAGGCAAAAATTTTTTAAAAACAATGTGTTAAACTAATGATGCCACAAAATTCATTTGATTTTGTTTGTTTGTTTATTTAACGGTTTTTTAACGGTTATTTAACGGGATGAACCCTTTTTCCTTACAAAAATTACAATATACACATATAATTAACATATAAACTGTAGTCATATATTACAATTTTAAAAAGTATTAATAACATTAATGTCTCAATTTCTTTAAACTATTCTTGAACGAGGACACGGATAAATTAAACAATTCAACACTATCTTGCAAATTATTGGCAGTTCTCAACATCCTTGTGATTGACTCACTTTCACCATAATTAGTGTGATGAAACTTTAGTCTAAACAGGTCAGGAGAGCGTGTTCTTCTAGAATTTACATTAAAAACAATTAATTCCAGCAGTTCCGGACAATCAACATAACCATTAAGAATTTTATGCAAAAAACGCAATTCACACTCAGATTCTCTATTTTCTAAAGTTTTCATATTAAGTTGACAAAGAATATAGTTATAATCACAGTTAGTTCTATTAAAACCCATTTTATACCTGCAAATTCTTAGGAATTTATTTTGAACTCGTTCCAACTGATCAATATACATATTATAATATGGATACCAAATAATATTACAATATTCCAAAATGGACCGAACTAGAGAACAATACAAAATTTTGAAAGTAAATATTGAAAATTCTCGGGAGTTCCTTTGAACAAAGCCGAGCATTCTATAAGCCCGCGATGTAATATTATTAATATGCCTATCAAACATTAGTCTTTGGTCAAATGTAATTCCAAGGTCTCTAATTTGATTTACTTCTGTAATCGATACTCCCTTAAGTATGTATGTTCTATATAACTGATGTTTAGTATTTCTGGAAAACGTAATTTTATAGCACTTTTTTATATTTAAATATAAGGCATTAATGTCACACCAACGAGATAAATTATTTAAGTCAGACTGAAGAGCATCCATATCAGAGGTATTTTTAATTGCTTTAAAGATCTTTATGTCATCAGCAAACAATAGAAATTCACTATTATTAATTACTGATGATATATCATTCACAAACAGATTAAATAGAAGTGGCCTAAGTGAGAACCTTGAGGTACACCCGAAGTAACATTAATCGCTTCAGAAACAAAATCACCATATTTTACTATTTGTGAACGATCTGTTAAATAACTCGTGATCCAACCCAATAAATTATCTCCAATTCCGTATCCACGAAGTTTAGCAATTAATATTTCGTGATTTACCCTGTCAAATGCTTTGGCAAAATCAGCATATATGGAGTCAACTTGGTTTCCCGATTCCATAGAATCAACAATGAAGTTTGAATACAAAATAAGATTTGTACAAGTAGATTTCTTTTGATAGAAACCATGTTGTTGACCGAGAATTAAATTTTTACAATCGTAGGTTAACATATGGTTAACAAAAAAATCAAGCAACTTTGGTAGTTCAGACTGCAAACAAACAGCCCTGTAATTTTCAACATTATTATTTTGACCAGATTTAAAAATGGGTTTTAAAAAACTCACTTTCCAAAAATCAGGAAATGTAGAAGAAGTTAATGACTTATTGAATAATAACTGAATAGGTTTAGCAAGAGTGAATACACATTTTTTAATAAAATACATTGGTATACCATCTGGACCCGCTGTCAGTTTCCACGGATTATTCTGTATCTTATCAATAATATCCTTAACATTAATTAAATAATTATTAGCATTAACATAATTTTCGTACTTAAAATTAGGAATCTGATTTATTTTTCCTTTATTATAGACAGTCGAAAAGAACCCAGCAAATAAATTCACAATATCTGAACCATTTTCACTACTTTCATTACCATAACTCATACTCGATGGTAGAACATGAGATTTGCGTTTATTATTAATATATTTCCAGAAAGAACAAGAATTATGAAAAATGCTAGCCTCAATTTCATTCACATGACGCCTTTGTAAATACTTGCTAAGCTCTTTACATTGTTCCCTGAGATCGGAAAAAAGACAATAGTTCTCATCACCACCAGTCATTTTAAATTTTTTATGTGCTTTTTTCTTCTCATAAAGTAAATGTTTTAACTCTGATGTAAACCATTTGGGATATGTAGATGTTTTAAATTTTTTTAATGGTATAAACAATTCGATTAAATAAAATAAAATATCATAAAAATCTTTAACTAAGTCATTAATGCTTTTGTTAAGAAATAATAAATTCCAGTCAACTTCTGCTAAATAATAATTTAAAGCAACATAATCACCATTTTTAAAGTCAAAATAATATTCTTCATAATTAAGGACAGATTATTTTATATCAACAATTACGTCAAAATTGACTGGTGTATGATGAAATCCCTCCTCAAATAACGGATCCAGAGGTACAGAAACAGATATATCAGAAAAGCTAGAAAAAATTAAATCAAGAAGAACATTTCTCCGGTTGGATATCGTATTGACCTGGTATAAGTCACAAATATTAATGATATTACATATATCGTTAGCTGGTGAGTTTTGGTTAGCCTGTACCGTGGTACCATAAAGACTGTTAACCCAAACTACATCAGGTAAATTATAATCCCCACAAATTATTAATTTACAACCCGGAATCTTATTATATATATTCAATACTATCACAGTGTTCTATATATACATGCGTATCAGATGCAGGAGGTAAATAAACACCACCAAATACGACAGTTTGACTTTGACACTTAAGTGAAACAAACATTTGCTCAACACTATTTTGAGGAAAAAAACCTCACACACTTCCAAATGTTTGGCCACATCTACTAATACTCCCCCACCACGTTGTTTGACCCTAGTATTATAGTTTCTATCACTTCTAAAAATGTTGAAGTCTTCTAACCCCAATTCTGCATCGTGGAATTCAAAATTTAACCAAGTTTCGACTAAAACAATCACATTGTAATCGGCGCATGACACTGTCTGGCTTAAATCCTTAAGCTTTGTTCTTAAACCACCCACATTTTGAAAATAAAACATTTAGTACAGTTCTACCATTATGATCATTAACGCTACTTTTTGATTGCTATCTTTGATAATTTATCTTCTCTTTGTTTTTATTTTGAACGTACTCAAAAGTTTGGGGGAATTTAGGGCTGCACACCCACCTTAAAATTTTTCTGTGTGCTTAGATTTTGTTGTTTCTTTTTTATGAAAAATGCTTTCAGAACAAGAAAGTAACTTGTCCATTTTTATTACAAAATGTCATTTAGTTTAGGAGATAATGCAAAAACCAATTTTTATTTTGTAACTTCAAAGGGCTGTAACTTTTTTTGTGTACACTTTTGTACTAAGGTAAGTTGTATTCAATCAATTTATTTTTATCCCCGGAATGCGTGATTTAATTTATGACAAACTTTTTGAAACACCCTGTATGTTTACCAGGTGTATAAGAGTTCACCAGTCCACTGAGAAAACAAATTCATTCATAAAGGAATGGATATTGTGAAACAGTTGTATAACGCAGCCTAAAATACACTAAGGCCTGAGGTGCAACGGTGCTTCTCGAGGCGGCAGTAAGTTCAGTGTATAAGATGCTCGTGGTAGTTAGGTGTTAATAATATATATACTCTAGTTAATAATTAGGAATAATATTGGTTATAACTAAGGGATCGTTCAAGTATTACGTAACACAAACAGGGGGAGGTAAGTGTTGTAAAACTTTACGGTGCGTTACAGGGGAGGAAGGGGGGTTTAAACAACGCGTTACCAACATTGTTTTTTTACTTAAAGAAATGAACTATGGAATTAAAATCTCTCAAGTTAGCAATCCTTTTCGTTTATGTTTTACGGGGTTTCATTATTGAAATTTGTCTTTCCGGATTTCCTGCAGTCAGCCTGCCCAATCCTTCAAATCCTAAGTAAGCTCGTGGTACTTACGTAAACATGGTCACTTGAGTGTTACGTAACGTTTAGGTAGAAGGAGGCGGTCTTGTAAAGTGTTACGGTACGTTACATGGGGGAGGGGAGATCTTAAAAAATTGCGTTACGTAATACTTGAACGCCCCCTAATACATTCTACTTACTATAAATTCGTCCCATTCAGTACAAACAACAATAGCGTGACATTCCTTCGCAGCTTCGTAAGGATCATCGTATGTCGCAAATTTTTCTTTATACAAACTGGGAATCGAACCATCGTCAGGTTTAGTAAGATCTTCATAAATTTGTTTTATACTAACCTAAAAATTATCGTTTTATTTAATAAACTATACATTTTTTCATAAATATTACCTTTGGGTCATAAATTCGAAGAGATGCTCCCTCATCTAACAAAGTTTTCGCTACGTGTATAGCTGGGCTCTCTCTAGTATCGCCTGTATTTTTCTTGAAGGCAAAACCAAGCATGCAGATGTTCTTATCACTCAATGTATTAAAATTTGATTGTATAATTTGTTTCGTAAATCGGCTCTTCTGATATTCGTTCATATCTATTACCTGCTGCCAATAGGCAGCAACTTCTGGTAGGTTACAACATTCACAAATATATACTAAATTAAGAATATCTTTTTGAAAACAGCTTCCACCAAATCCTAAAATTTAATTCATAATTGTATATATATTTGAAACAGTAATTATTTTCAATAAGTTTCTTATTTCAACAATACTTAAGCTTGCACAATCAAAATACTGTATGTAAATAAACTTTGAACTCAATATTTAAATTGCGAATATATGCTAATAACCTGGAATGAAGCTTGGAAACACTGATCCATGAAAAGGAAGAGGAGCTGATGATTGTAACGTAAAAAGTATGGATATATCGGAGATGAGTATAATGAGAAGGTTGTATGATAAAATTCTTTGAAACCATCAGATAGCTTTATAATAAACAAAAACCTGCAACATGAATGTTGCATATTTTCGGTCTAAAACAGAAAAAATAAATGAAATAATAATGCTAGGATATGTACTCTACAAGCATACTATATTGTACATATATAACGATAAAAAATCTATAAAATTGTCTTACCAACTGAAGCCTGTAGAAATTTGGAGCCAATCCTTGAGTCTAAACCCACAGCTCTAGCTACTTCCGATATATCCGCTCCTGTAGATTCACATACTGCTGACAAAGAGTTAATGCTAGATATTCTCTGAGCCAGCATAGCGTTAGCAGCCTAAAATATATAGATGTAGGCAGAGTTCATTTCTCTAAATAACATAACAATTATAAATACCTATGTGCCCACTGAAGCAAATGAAGAGGATATTAAAGATTCTTTCTATTGCCTGCTCTAACGAGAATGCGATACAGAACCCGGACATGACCTCATAATTTTACTAGAGAGATTTTAAAAAAATGGTAAATAAGAGGCAAAAACACAAAATTTAACAAAAGCACTTGTTAAATACCTGTCTCAATAATTGTCATGGGAAAATCCGCTCTATGCGACTCTGATCACTTATTAGTCATGAAGCGAAAAACTAGCAATATCCAGAAGGCTGTGGGATAAAATCTACTAGATGTGGAAGGGCGATGGCAACATATCAAGAACAGTATAGTAAAACCGGTATAGGATAACAAGAGAAGCATCGAAACGCTTAGTGATTTGATGCTGAAGTAGGTTCATTATGAGGCAAATGGAAGATGCAATGATAAAATATTTACAACTAGGATCAAGAAGTAATAAGGAAGAGTACTGAACAGACCAAAACCCACAAAAAGTTGTAGCGCTAGAGGAAGAGAAGATTTAAGAATTAAGTTTGTACTACACCTAAAATTCTGTTTTGATCAATACTTTCATGTTTTTTATTGTTGTTTTTCGAATATGTTCTCATATTTCAATTTTTATTCAAGCTTAACCTTTCCCCGCGTAGTTTTCGAATTTTGCAAGTATATGCTTTAGTAATTAACATTTTTATGTATATATAAATGTTCTTGTCCTTACTCTCTCCTTCTCATTTTTATAATTATATTTTTTTATACATTCTGCAATATATTTGCAAATACTTTTGTTTCAAAGATCAAATATTGCTTAAACTAATATTAACCACTTCTTTGTGTAGTACTTTCCTGGATTTTGTGGAAATTGAACATGTATACATGTTTTTTTATTTTGTTCCATCTGATTTTCCTCATTTTGCACTTGTTATTAAAACAAGAACGTACATACACCTGAGAGAGCTAGCCGAAGGCATCAAACAAGAAAACAGCGTATTTTGCTACAAGGTCTACAGATTTTCTCAAAAAGAAGGTTCTGACAAATATATTGTAAATGATGACTTTTATCGATGAAGGTTGTTTTTACTTAAATCATCATCATCATCAGGGCTTTTCACTACGGATGGATTGTTTGCCGCTCTTACTTAGATCTCTCTTAGTGCGATGAATCGCTCCGCATTCATCTTGTATGTTGTCCAAAGTTTGTTGTATCACTTGGCTTTCGTTACAATTGTCTTCCACTCGTTTCGATATGTGCATAGTTCCCTCCAGTTTCTCACTTTCAGAATTTTGATACCTCTTATGACTTGGTCCTCCCATCTCTCTATGGGTCTTCCCCTTGGTCTTTCAGTTGCTGGTTTCCATCTGGTGATCTTCGTAATCAGTAGGTAGTTTTTCCTTTTCTCTATATGTCTCAGCCTCTGAACTTTAATAAATCTAACTATATCTTCTCCCTTCATTATGTCTCTTAGTTCACGGTTCATTCTTCTCCTCATTTCTCTGTTGTCCATTCTTATGGGGCCCATAATCCGTCTGAGGATTTTCCTTTCGAAAATTCTCAATTTTTCTTCATCTTTTTCCATGATGCACATTGTCTCAGCTGCGTACATAACTACTGTATATTTTCAGTTTTGTATTTCTGGATAAGTTCTTGTCCTTCATAAGCCTATGATATCTCCAATATGTTTTGTTGCCTGCTAGTATTCGTTCCGTTACTTCTTCACTTCTCTTGTTTTGGCCATTCACTATTACTCCCCAATATTTAAATTATTGGACTCTTTCAAAAGTGTATTTTTCTATTTTGATTTCTCTCGTCCTGTTATCTTCTCTTCTAGAGCAGAGTAGATATTTTGTTTTTCCTTCGTTAATTTCTAGATCTCTTTTCTGTGCTTCCTTTGCCAGGATTGTTACTGCTTCTTTGAATCTTTCCTTGTCTCTTCCCATAAGAACTAAATCATCTTTATATACAACTATATGTGTTGAGGAGTGGTCTATAGTTCCTATAGGGCTATTGCTCTATAGTTGTTACAGTTTGTTACTTCTCCTTTCTTAAATATTGGTATAATTATACCTTCTTTCCAATCCTCGGGCATTTATTCTGCTTCCCATATGCTATTAGGTTATAGATGCTTGTTAATAACTTTTCCCCTCCGTTTTTAATTACCTCATTGGGAATTTCATCTAGGCCAGGTGTTCTTTTCTGTTTCATTTTTGAATGATGTCTAAATATTAATCATATGTTGGTATCCCTATTTCATTATCTCTAATGTCCTCCATTGCGCCTACTTTCTCTTCCGGGCTTTCTTTGCATCTATATAGTTCTGTGAAGTGTGTTTCCCATGATCTACTGTCAACTTTAACTCCTGGTCTGCCTTTTCTTTGTTGAGCTTTTAGGTATCCAAATAGTTTGGCGCTGTCTTTAGTATTCTTTTCTAGGTCCTTTAACAGCTCTTCCATCCAGTTTTTTTTTGTTCTGGCAACAATTATCCGATGCTTTCTTTTTTTCTTTATGTTTATTTCGATGATGTTCTTCTTTAGTTGATGTCCATTTATCTCTTGCTTGGTTTTTCTGTTTGATTTTGATTTCGCATTCTGCGTCAAACCACTCTTTCCTTCTTTTTATTTCCCTATGTCCTAGCACCTCTTTAGCTGAATTCAAATTGATTCTTTTATTTTTTTCCATTTGTCCTCTGTGTTCTTTGTTTCTGTTAGATTTTTCTTTAGGGTTGTCTCATATTGTTCTCTTAGTTCCCGTACTTTTAACTTCTCCAGATTCCATCTTTTTTTGTTTTGTCTTGTTCTCTCTGCTTTAATTATCTTCATTTTGATTTCTCCTATTACTAGAAAATGGTCTGTGTCCGCGTTTGCTCCTCTATATGATCTGACATCGTGCATTATTGCTTTCCATTTTTTGGATATTAGTATGTGATTTATCTGATTGTCATCTGTTGTGGAAGGTTTCAACCATGTTACTTTATGCTCTCTTCTGTGCATGAAGTTGATGCTTATAATGTAACTGTTTGTTATTGCTGCTAGTTGGCATAGTTTTCTTCCGTTGTCGTTTGACTCGTCATGAATAGTTTCTTTCCCTGCTACTTCCTTATACTGGTTTTCTTTGCCTACTTTTGCACTGAAGTCACCAACCATTAGTACTATATCATTTCTGGGTAACCTTTCAAATAATTATTCCAGTTGTTCATATAATTCAATTTTCAATTCATTTTTCAATCATTTTCTGGTGCATTTTCTGTGGGTGCATATATGTTTATGATTGTCATATTGGCTTGTTTGTTTTCTATTTTTATATATGACATTCGTCCATGTATCGCTTTAAATTCTATAACTTTGTCCCTAATCCTATTGTTGACCATGAATGCTGTACCGTTTTTCCCTTGCTTGTTTTCTCCCGAGTAGTATATTGTGTAGTTTTTCTTTTTGATATTTCCTTCTCCTTTCCATCGTACTTCTTGTAGTGCTAGTATGTCTATTCTGTGTCTTTGCATTTCTCATGCTACCTCTACCATTTTTCCTGGTCTCAATAATCTTTGAACGTTCCAGGTTCCTACTTTTACCCTACTTTTCTTCTTGTTTTTTCTTTTTCTATCTCTTTTTCTTATGTTTGATTCGTTGTTCTTTTTCCGTGCTAGTTTCGTCATCAAGTTTTCATCCGTTTTCTTTGAAGTCTCTTTGTATTCCATAGACGCGTTTTCCATATTAGTTTGCCGGGATGTTAAATTGATACTAGTCGATTGTTCTTTACTATGTGCTACTTTTACAAACGACCCCAGTTTTTTGGCTTTGTGTCAGTATTATTTGCGGTCTTGGTTATTTTCGCCATATTTTCTGATTTATTTTTGGTCATCTCCTGGTGATCTTTCAGTATATGTTCTTCCTCTGGGTTTTCCTTGAGATGTTTAAGTATTCATCGTTTCGCTTAGTGTCTTCCTGTATCCTAAGCTTTGCACAGTATATGTTTTGTCGTCTATTTTTAGCAAATGCTGTCAGTAGTGGCCAACAGTATTGCACAAATTTTTTAAAAGATATGAGCAAGATGGTGGTATATAACATAATTTTATTTCTAAAGTAAATCTGCATTTATAAGCATATATTAAAGGATCAATATATTTTCAATTTTTTATATAATATTTTGAAAAGACAAATTTACTCCGGATCGCTCTGTAGTAATGAGATATTGACGTGTTTTTATATTTTTCAAAAAGGTCAAAAAGTGTTAAAATTACGACTAAATACTTACCAGTTTTGATAACTCAGAAGACCATGTATTCATGGTAATAATCTTCCCCCTGGGTATCCAGTTTTCATAAACTGAGCATAACACCTCTATTGCTTCTCGTCCAGCTTGAGTATCTTCTCCTCCAATTAAAACTCTATCAGGATTGAGCAGATCATTGACCGCCGTACCTATAAACACATCAATTACATAATTTTATTCTTTATTAAGGATCAACCATATACCTTCGGCCAAGAATTCGGGATTTGATAATATTTGATGAGTGGTTCCTGGCTTCTGGTTAGCTCTTAAAATGTTTGCTATACTTTCAGCAGCCCTAACAGGGACAGTACTTTTCTCTACTACGATTTTATTAGTTACAGCTACATCTGCTATTAGTCTGGCTGCACCTTCGATGTATTTTAAATCAGGAGCTCTTCCCTAAAACAGTAGATTTAATGTATACAAAGAAAAGTACAAAACAGAAACTAATGTAACACCTCCAAATCTTCCTTAAAAAACGTCTGTGATTAATTGTATAAAGGACGGTACATTGTACATCTACAAGGTAGAAGCACGAGCTTTTAGGCAGATGCCTTCTACATGCGCAATGCAATGCCCTCTATAGTAAAATTCACACTTAGAGTCCAGTACGGCCAAGATAGGGCAATGCTTTTCTTATTGCTCGATTTTTTTACACACAAAAATTTTTTTAGGGGTCTCACTAAGGAGATATGTAATACCAAGTTAGTTTTTTTGTATGGGATACCCAATATATTTTAATATTTTTCGCTTATATTTTTAGTTATAAGTATAAAAGTATAAAAAAATTTTGTATAAACTATGTTTGTCAGAAAGAAAATAAAGATTTTTAATTTGAAAGTAATAAAGGACTCAAGATAATAGATGTCATACCGAAATTAAAATACAAAATAAAGCAACCACTAAATATGTTTATGTTTGTATTCAGAAATGACGAAAATATCAATAGAATCTATGAGATCTCAGGTATCATGTGCGTAAAAGTACAAATACTTCCACTAAGAAAATCAAAATTGGTACCTCAATGTAAGAGATGTCAGCTATATGGACATACGCAAGGTTACTGTGCGAAAGAACTAAGATGTGTCTGCTGCACAGGAAAATACCTAACAGCCAAATGTGAGAAACCCAAGGGCATCCAGCTAACTATAGAGGATGTATCGTGGCAAAGAAAATACAAAAAATAAAAGATAAATATAACAAGAAACAGACCTTACCCAGACAACCACAAAGAATGCATCCAAAACCTGTAGAAAATCCAAAACAAGAAGAAAACAAAACAAGCACTTATAGCACGGTAGCAACTGATAAAAGTAACGAAGAAAACTATAGTAGTCAAAAAGATCTGAAAATAGAACAAACACTACAGAAAATATTAGAGAGATTAACTAACCTGGACGAGCGTATAACCAGAATAGAATAGAATAGAATATAGCACCAAAGGAGCTATACCTAAAAGACTTGGTAATGTAACTTGGTAACTTCAAACATCAGCAAGAACTACAAGCGATACTAGATATAGAAAAAATAGACATATGCCTCATTTCTGAAGCCCATTTTACGAATGAGTCATATATTAGATTTAGGGGTTATAAAACTTATCACACTATTCACCCTGATAATGCAGCCAAAGGAGGTAGTGCAGTAATAATAAAGAAAATATTATGCACTATCAGGAAATGGGATACAGAACTAAAGAATTTCAGGCCACATCAGTAAAAATTAAATGTAAAAATTATGAGGTAATCGTCACAGCGGTTTACAGTCCGCCAAGACATGCCATCAAGAAAATTCAATATGTAGATTTCATGACCAGTCAAGGACATAGATTTATCCTTGGAGAAGACTTCAATGCAAAACATACGCATTGGGTTCACGACTGACTACCATCAAAGGGAAAGAATTTTTAGAAGCAATGAAATACATAAAATGCGACACAATATTAACGGGAAAGCCAACATACTGGTCTACTGACACAAAAAAATCCCAGACCTTATCGACTTCTTTGTAGTCAGAAATATTTCAACAAATTAAATAGAGATAGAAGAGGCATTGGATATGAACTCGGACGATTCTCCAATTATTCTCACACTCAGTGACACTGTTATCAGAAAAGAAAGCCCCCTTAAACTTGTTAACAAAAATACTGACTGGAAAGTTTCCAGATAGACCTTGAAGAGAATATTAACCTCTCAATTCCATGAATTCATGAATTGAGAACCGTTGATCAACTAGAGACAGAAGTAGAATTACTCAATAATAATTTACAACAAGCTGCTTAGAACAACAGCACAAACAGTGTCGAAAGAATAAAAAGAAATAACTACCCGAAGAAATCAGAGGAATGATAACCGAAAAAATAAAACTGAGACGCAAGTGGCATTAGTCTAGACCACCAGTTGATAAAACTAGATTAAATAATGTCACACAAAAATTAAAAAGAGAAATTAAAGAATTAAAAACGAATCGGTTAGCATCTACCTAAGTAAACTATCAAATGATAGCGCTACTGATTACTCATTTTGTGGAAGGCTACCAAACGATTGAAAAGGCCAATCTTACAGAATCCACCAATTAGAAATACTAATGGTAGCTGGACAAGAAGCAATATACAAAAAGCCAACAGGTTTGCTGACCACCTAGAAAATACTTTTCAACCAAATGAAGAACAAGAAATAATTAACTGGGAGCTCCCTGATCAAGATGAAATGGAGGTATATTTGGAAATAAAAGAAAATATAAATCCAAAGAAAGCTCCTGGATTTGATCTAATTACTGGGGAAGTGTTAAAGCAACTTCCAAGGAAAGCTATCAATGAAATATCTATGAATGAAACATGAATTGACATGAAAATCTGTTCATGTCAGTTTTACTAGCAAAAGAGAACAACATATCGCAGTTAATATAAATAGAAAACAAATACCTTATGCAAATACGGCAAAATATTTGGGTATGACATTAGATTCCAAGCTACGTTGGAAAGCACATATTAAGAAAAAAAAGGAGGAATTAGAAATTAAGTTCAGAAAGATGTACTGGTGAATGGGAAAATAATCCACTCTGTCTACTCATAACAAATTGTTATTGTATAATGCACGCCATACACACTACGGATTACCGGAGAGGTCTACCTGTGCAGGCATGCCTGCATTCCGGTAGACCGGAACGTGTGTGGGAATAGACCTGTGCAGTTTTTTGAACCTGTATAGGCGACCGGAGCAAAATAAAAAATCAATTTTTTCGAGTGACACCGTACGATGTACCTGTGCGTCTGTGCATGTACTCCGGACGCCTGCGCAGGTCGCGTCAGTTGTTTTCTAGTGTTTCTCTGGGAAAGTCCTCTTGTTGTTCGCATCGTATTGTCACACCACTCTTTAATTAACCCCAGAAAATGGTGCCACCAGTTTCAACTAAAAAAACGCTTGAAGAATTTATCGAAATTTATACAATTCATCCATGTCTTTGGGAAATCAAAAACAAAGTACAATATTCGAGATGAAATAATTGCTGAGTGTTTTAAATCCTCATAACTTCTTCCAGTTGCGAGAAATCTCAACGTAACTAATAATCATGTGCAGAAATACTATTTCTCATAACTATGTCTTTCTTTTTTATCATAGGAGTAACCATTTCAAGTAATTTAATGTATGTTTTCTCGTCCATCCGGAGATAGTTTTTAAAATCTTCTGGTTCAAATTTGAATTCATTCAATAAGTTAACACGACTGTATGTTTTCGTTTTCAACAACCAATACTTACACCAATTTTTTCGCTTATTTTTCACTGTTTTTTTTAACTTTTGTCTTTAAAATTAAAACAAGGCCTAACAATGCCAACGCATCATCGCTAAAGGAACTGAAGACCGCACCGGTACACCGGAGAGTCTCCATACACGCTACCGCTGTTTCGTTGACCTGTACAGGCATAATACCTGCACAGGTAGACCTCTCCGGTAGACTGTAGTGTGTATGGCGTGCATAAGCAAGTCCTTAAACCGATATGGACATAATATGGGATACAGCTATGGGGCTGTACAAAAGAAAGTAACATCCAAATTATACAACAATATCAGAATAAATTATTAAGGAACATCGTTAACGCTCGATGGTACTTCAGAAACTGTGATCTTCATCGAGACCTCCAGATGGATATGGTTATCCAGACAATAAGTAAGTTTACCGAGAGTCATGAACAAAGGCTCTCCAACCACATGAATGTCGAGGCCATCAAACTCCTAGACAACGCCAACCAGATAAGATGACTTAAGAGAACGAAGCTGTTTGAGTTAGTGCTATGAGTGAAAGTGAAAAAGCAGAGCAAAGTGCGGCTAAAGTGTACACGTTAGCTAGTAGTACTATAATATATTAGAGCCTAAGGAATATTGCGGAATGTAACCTTAGATAAGTTTTTGTAATATTTTGTATATTGAACTAACTTGCTTATTGATCAGATAGCAATAATCATAAGATTCCTGTTGGAGTTTTATTAAATAAAAAAATGTTTATACTCTTTAGAAGTTTAACATGAATTAAAAAATTGGTATCTGACATTGACAGATGACATCTGGCAGGTATCTTAATACACGAGTGATTCAGGATCGTATCTTAAATATCTGCCATGGTGAATTTAAAAAACAACTCAATTTATTAAATTATGACACATATTGGAAAGATCTTTGATGTCAGTCTTATTATTGATAGTTTTTAGATCTTTTTTCAAATAAATTTCAAATAACAAATAACATTTGGTTGATTATCTTTATTAACATTCGATTTAAATTTTGGAAAATATTTTCCAGATGTTTTGATGATTTATGTCCAACATTATTATCATATTTTGCCAACATTTTTGGCATTTGCTCAGAAAAACCTGCACCAATACCTGCATAGAAGGGTTGTTTCACAAAAACAGAGTGTACAAACTAACAGATTATCGAGTACAAACACTTGCAGTTTATGTTCATCAGTCTAGTTTAATGTCCATAATTCCTTACTAAAAGTTTTACTAACTTTTAACAATTGGTAGATCTGTCTGTATACTCTGCATTAAATAAATTGCATAATTGTTGTAATTGTTTTATCTCCAGATATTATAACAATTAAAAATTTTTTGCGTTGGATTTCACTTAAAATAGAATCATTCACTTAATTCACTATCATTCATTCACTAAATCTTACTTGAAATTAGATATATTTGCAAAATTTTCACTGAAACTTTAATTGGAATTAGGAAACTTGACTTTTATTTATTATTGTCTATTGTTTTTATGTATTTCTTTGATTATCGTTGTGTATTTTTTTACTAAAGAGCTAAAGGTTGTTAACTGTTGGGTGTGTTACTTTAAAACAAACATTTAGCTATAACATATTATTGTTAATATTTTTTATCATTTAATAGCAAATTATCAAACTGGAAAATAAAATAAACTTTTGTTTACATCGTAGAGAAAATAGTTTATTAATTACCCATTACTGAATACAGTATTAAAAGACTCTCAAATTGAAATATATGTGTGACATGACCCAAATTTCAATTTAAATCATAATAAAATTATGTTTGAGAAATCATATTAAGAAGTTCCATACCCTCAAAAGATAGAGAAATCAAGAAACCAGCATAGAAAAACAAAAAGGAAATAGTTAAAGCAACAGACGGGTGAGTTGAATCATAAACACACAAGATGAATAGAGTTAACATATATACTATTAACATATTATACCACTATACTAACGTGTACCACACATTTTCTCTAATCTTTCCAGTAGTCTAGTAGTAGTAGATAGTATTGCAGAAAAAAGTAATTAAAAAACTATAAATAAAGTGAAGTTGATCAGCACAACTTACCTTGCCATTTCCATTCAATTTTGTGGGTGTGTTCACTGATATGAATATCAAGTCAGCATCTAATATTGCTTGTGTAATGTCAGTGGTAAAGAATAGATTCCTATTTCTGCACTGCCATACTATATTATTCAAACCAGGCTGAAAATACATAATCTAATTAGTTTTATCTATAATAAATATTAAATAAATATAAATGTCCGCAGTCAGATAAATAAAAATTACTAAGTTCTCGGGAAGAACCGCGTTGATAATTTAATGCTCGACGTTTTGGCTCACATGTTGTAGCCATTTTCAAGAGGGATATGGTTCCGTTCGAGATCGAGGTCTCAATCTGCCTACTCCCTTCACTTGTGATGTACCAGTATTATTTTCTGTATAAATACAAGAACCGTCAAACGGTACTGAGATGTCAATGTGCCTACTCCTCAGTCGTCACTTGACACTGTCCACAAACCATAGGGTTATATATGTGAGCTATATAAGTAATTTAATCATATGTTTGAATCCATTTTATCATGTTTTTATGAAATTGCAATAAATCTGGCAACACTGCTGACGTAGCAATACGTGACTTAACCACCACTTTTGTCAATTATATGAAGCCCAGCGCACAATTCGTGCACATCTTGTGTTAATTCTCAGTGTTTAATGTGCTTAGGTTGTTAGAAACAATTTCCATTGGTCTCTATTGATATTCTGACTATCATATACTATTTTTACTATTATTTACCAATTTCTAAAGTTTCAAGGGCAATTGTAAATGGCATAAGGAAAAAACAACACTACAGGATAAAACAAAAATTCACGATATTGTTTTGTTTTGGCAAACGTAAACAAACCTTGCAGGATTTTAAACTAAAAATGATGCAGGAGTATGCCATTAACATTTCACCAATTACAGCTTGTTGGCGAATAAAGGATCTAAAATAAAAAAAAAAAGATTCAATGGGCTAAAGATCACACTGATTGGTAAAGAGCGGTAAATAACATTACTTAACATCTTTCATTTTTCTAGGATTTACATAAAAGAAAAACTAACGTTTTTATTTTATGTACTGTACATTTAATCAATTTGTCCAGGATTCTAAAATAATATTATTCCAGGTTTGTTTGTTGATGAATCTACCATGCAGATCCTCGTTACTAAAGCTAAATTTGTGAGAAGACCTAGGGAAAATACAAAGAGGATTGTATTGGAAGAACTTTAAAACACCCCCTAAATGTCATGGTCCATCTTAAGCAGTCAAGGAACTGGTAGACTCTAAATTGACCAAAGAACAGTACTTGAGAGTACTGCAAAACAAAAATGCTTCCTCAGATCTGGGAGTGGTTCCCAAATAAGAGTTTCATGTTTATGAATAACTCACTGTGATGTCACAAGTTAAAAACTGCTACAAAATTCCTTTTAGTTACCCAGATAAAGGTACTCTACTGGTCTGGCAATTCGTCAGACCTAAATCCAATAGAAAATCTTTGGAAGCTAATCAAGAAAGAAATATCTAACGACATTTTAACCACAAAGTGTCAGCTGATCAATAGAAGTATGGCACAGGAGTGAAACAATTCAACAAAACTGTGAGAAATGTATAGAAAGTACGCCAAAAAGGTGCCAGATGGTCATTGCTGCAAGTATTAGGCATAAGGCATAATTTAAAGTGTTTTGATGTAATTACCAATTCTTTTTTAATATTCATAAACTTTGTAGCTGGTAAATCACAGTTAAATAAAAATAAATACAAAAATATATTTTATAGCTCAAGTACATACGATTACATGTTATAACCATAAGCTAAATTTTATGAGGTGGGTTTAATAATTTGATCACACACTTATTTTGTTTGGACATGTTTGGACTTTATTGAGAACTTATCAAGTACAGCCAGAACCCAGAATATCAAGTATATACTGGGAAAGAGAAAGGCAGGTACTTAAGCAAATTCATCATCATCGTTGGTGCTACAGCCCTATAAAAGAACCTCAACCTTCCCAAGTCTGTTACGCCAGACAGTTCTATCCACTGCCAACTGTTGCCAGTTTGCTGCGCCTATTTTTCTACCATCCTCATCTACACCATCCCTCCATCTGAGTTTTGGCCTTCTTCTAGGACGGTTGTTCTGCTGTGATCTTGCCAGATGTCCTGTCCATCTTAGTCTTCCTATTTTTATAAGAGATACTATGTCTTTACCACCAAATATACTAAGTGACATAGAAATCCGAACACCCAGTTTAAATGATTTTATTTCAATAAAATTTGGTGTAATTTATTTATCTCACTGAAAAAAACAAGTGATAAAATTTTTAGCCTTATCAGTTGGAGATTCGGTTTTTATACTTTTTGTTTTTATATTCACTAACAATCTAAAAATGAATATTTCAGCCGCAGTAAATATCCAAATTTGGCGGATTGTGGTTCTTGACATTCTTTACAATTGGTTACTATGCCTAGAGTACGGAGACCTGTACGATTTCATCAACTTAGTGAGTTTGATAGGGGCCATATAATGGGACTTCGGGAAGCTGGACTTTCTTTTCGGGAAGTTGCAGTTAGAGTACAAAGAAGTGTAGACACCGTGGTTAGGTGTTGTCAGGCATGGCTTCAAAAAGGCCATACACAAAGAGCAAGGGGTACTGGACGCCCCCGTGGAGCAACAGACCGTGAAGATCGCCACACAAGATTATTGGCCTTAAGAAACCGTTTCTCCACTACTTGCTCCATTGCAAATGAATGGTTTGCAGAACACGGAAGACCTATTGGCATGTGAAGTGTTTACCGACGAATGAGAAGTTTTGGCCTGTTTTCATACAGACCACACTGGGTCCTCCCTTTAACTCCAGAACAACACCGTAATCGCCTTCAGTGGTGCAGAGAACAGCCACTCTGGAATCAGGAGTGGAACAGTATTGTCTTTAGTGACGAGTCTTGATTTTGTTTAGGCATGCACGATGGTCAGGCGAGGGTTAGAAGGCGACGTGGTGAAAGGAGAAATCCACAGTTTTTTGTTGAAAGACATGTTCAGCACACTGTTGGAGTTATGGCTTGGGTGCTATAGCTTATGGTTCCAGTTCACCTTTAATCTTCATCAGAGGTAACATGAACGCATAGTGTTATATCCAAGAAGTTCTAGAACCCCACCTGTTACCCTATCTTGACACCCTGGCAAATCCAACTTTCCCACAAGATAATGCCCGACCACATGTTGCAAGAGTCAGAATAGACTTTTTTCAACATAATGATGTTACATTGTTAGCATGGCCACCAAGATCTCCCGACTTATCCCCAATTGAGCATGTGTGGGATATGATGGGTAGGAGATTGCTCAATTTGCAATGTCCTCCTCAGACTCTACAAGCACTTCGAGAGGAGTTGGTGGTTGCCTGGAATGAGATACCACAAGAGGACATTGGCCACCTGATCAGAAGCATGCCTAGGCACGTTGGAGAATGCATAACACATCAGGGTGCATCCACACATTATATAAGGTAAAAGGGCTTTAAAGCAATGCAATCATTTTGAAAATTTTAATCATTTACTTATTATGCTTCATTAACTACTTATACACAATTTTATTAAAATAAAATCATTTAAACTGGGTGTTCGGATTTCTATGTCACTTAGTATATATATATATATATATATCATATATATATATATATATATATATATAATATTTATATATATATTTATATCTGTGATATATCTCATAGTTGTACCTCCTTCTCCAAAAAACACCATTTTCACAGGTGCCACCTAATATTCTTCTCAGGATCCTTCATTAAAATATAAGCAGGAGGTTTTCGTCTGCCTTGGAAATGGTCCATGTCTCTGATCCATATGTCAACACTGGTTGTATAAGGGTTTTGTATATGGTTATTTTTGTTTTTTGGCTTTTCATATGTTTCTGCTTCTCATATGTCTACTCAATCCAAAATAGCATTTGTTTGCTAGGATTATTCTTCGCTTGATTTCTTCTGTCATGACATTCTCCTTAGTGATCAGAGAGCCTAAGTATGTGAATTTGTCCACCACTTCAAAGGTAGAGTTATCAACGGTGAATTGGTGGCCGATGTTTCTGGCTCTATTGTTGGGTGTTGATGCCAATATCTTAGTTTTCTCCTCATTTACTTGCAGGGCCATATTTTTTGAGGCATTTGACAAGGTGGTATACATTTCTTCTAATTTGCATGTTGTGCGGGCAACTAGGTCAACATCATCTGCATATGCCAAAATTTGGGATGATTTATTAAAAATGTTTCCTCTGTTGTCTTAAGCAAATTTCCATTTGATAATTTCTTTCATTGTCCAAATAATATTGTTAACATCAGGATAACGAAGGGTTTGCACTGATTTGTTATATATTGAGAATGTGGTTGTCATTTGTGACATGTATATTACTTTCCCAAGTGATATATTGAATAGTACACAGAAATGAAGATCTCGCCATTGTTTTGTTTTAAAAAAGTTTTGACAATTCGCCTAGATCCACACTCTACACTTATTTTTTTTAACAGTTTGTTTTGTTAAAATTACCAACTTACTTGGTTATATTATTATTTCTTATAGAATCGTAAGCTACCTTGTAGTCTATAAATATATGGTGAGTATATATGCCAAACCTCCAGTGTTTTTTCTAAATAAAATTTTTATCAGGGTAGAAATCTGGTGAATGGTTGATTTACCACCTATAAAACCAGCCTGGTACATCCTGATTATTTTTTCTGCATATGTTACCATACAGTATAGAATATTTTATACACTATATTCAGAAACATAATCCCTTTGCCATTGGAGTATATAAAGATATCTCCATTCTTGTGTATCATGCAGAGTATTCCAGTATTCAAATTACTAGAGTGTGAATATCTCACTCCATTTCTTTTTGGTTTTTTTTTTCGTTGCTTAGCATCATTTTTATATCTTGGCAACAATCTCTACATACAGGTAGATTATCTATTTTGAATTATTTTTTTCTGGCCAGTTTTTTAACTGCATCTTTAACTTTAAGAATTGTAAGGAGGTTCCCCTTCCCTCTCTTCTGTTAAGTTTATTTTGCTTGCCTTATTTCCCTTATCTTGACAGTTCCGTCCCCTATATTAGGTACCTGACTAAATTGTTCCACTCATTGATATAATACATCTGTTGTTACTGTTAAGAGCCATCCTTTTGGCTTCTGCAATGATTTGGCATTGCATTGTATTCTTTTCTGTTGGTATTAACTTACTTCTGAATTATTTTTGTCTATTAAGATTTTCTAATTTCCTTATTTAAGTTGTTTTGCTACTTTTTATGTGATGAAATAACCAAAAAAATAAATAAAAAAACAGCTGTTTAACTACAATTATAAAGGACTGTAATATATGCAGTGCAGCTAGATGTAATAAAATAAGAAAGGAAAACTATTAACAACAAAACTAAAATTTATTAAGCCCATACAAATATCATGACTTACTAGTGTAGCAAAAAAATGATAAATAAGTTACTAGTAAGGGACAAAAAAAAGAACTTACCTCATAAATTGGAAGTTTTTCCGAGTTCCACTGGGCTATTCGTTTAGGGTTGAGGTCAGCTACAGTAACTTTAATATCTGCACATTTAAAAGCTATCACACTGCAGGTTGGCCCTCCTACATAACCAGCTCCAAGGCAGCAAATATTTTTTATTGCCATTTTAATAACTGATTTAGATATTCTGGAAATTGTATTTAGAGATTTTACAATGATAAAAAACTAAGACATTTTAAAATGTAAGTCATAGACTGTGTATTGTATTTAATAAATTTGATGTTCAAATCACTAATTAAATAAAATAGTTTTTAATCCAGTCAGTATTTTAAATTAAATATTTACAAGAAGCTTACCTGCTTTTACTATCACAGATTGTTTCTAGGTGTTTTTTTTAAACCAAATGCATTGAATGAAATTTAACAAGAATTGACACTTATTGCCACTTGATTGTTAAAGCATAATCTGAAATTAAAAAAATAGTCCCTTAAGGGGTATTCTGTCCTCAAGTCTAAGAAACAGTGATATAGATACATATAATATATTAAGAAAACAGTGATAAATGTATGTTTTCAAAATAAGATGTTAAAACTTGATAATGGTTTATCTCATTAAAATGAATGAAAGGATATAATGCTTCTCATCTGTATTCTTTGCTTTTAGCAGAAAAGCAATGGCATTGTTAGGTATCTAACATAAAAAAGGATAAACAAATTAAAATTCTAAACAGGACTGAATTAAGATTAACTTGAAACTATGGGAAATAGACATTACCGTTTTTCACAATCATGTAACAAATACTATTTAATAAGTTGTCGCCAGAATTAATCTGAGGTGACTACTACAATCTTATAAAATAAATCCTTTAAACATATATAATCCCTATTTATTTCTTATGTTTTTCAAATATACTTACATAAAGAGATATGTTTTGCTAGACGGTTTACGTTTTGTTTATTTAATTTACTGATAATAACTTAAAAGTATTTTCAAAAACAATATTTAAGACAGTTTCCTTTAGCAATTTATATTTTTTAAATAATTTACACTTTTAACTGTTGTATCTACTTGAACTTATACTTTTAGCCACGTGGGTCGCTGATGGAGCTTCTATTGGTTCTTCTTCTTTTCTTTATAGTGACATTTTTGTTTCTGTGTCCGTCGGGCGTCAGTGGCGTAGCCATAGATAAGAGGGTTAAGTTGGCGTAGCGTAGTTTGGATACTAAATAACTGCGAGCGTGTGAACTTCGACTGAATTTGCATATTGCTACTTCTTTTATTGCCATAAGTACTGAGAGTGATATTTCTTTGTTTACTTGTTTTAAAATATGTTAGGAAGTTTACTTAACGATTCTTACTTATTATAATAATTTTACCAGAAAGTAGAAGATTCAATTCCCAGAGAAAGAAATTTAATTAAATCGTTTACGTAATTTGCAAATTTTGTGATATAGACATAACCAACAAATATAGTTGCATCTATGCTTCTATATTCGTTGATATAGCTTAATGTGTCGCTGGCTAACTCCTATAGATAGAGGTGGTTGCATTTCTTAGTGAGAAGTGGTATTATCATAGTACATAAAAAAATATACTCTGGGTATTATTTTCTGTTGTACCATCTAGTGGCCAGTTTTTCAGAGCTCTTACTTTATAATTATGATTTCTAGTCAAGGAATAGAAATTAGTAAAACCATTCGTCTTCTTATGGTGCCCTACCCAATTAGTGGATGTTGTGGATGACAATTCTGGCATACTCCTCTCAATCTTGTGTCTCTAAAGAGTGCATGGGCATCGAGGTTTGTCCAACATGAGTATTTCTTTCTTCCGATGCCTCGTTTTCCTTCCACAATAAGCTTTAAGAACTGTTACTTGGAATTTCGAAATATATATGACCCAGATAAGCAGTTTTTCTTCTTTTTATTATTGGCAGCAATTCTCGTTCTCTTTAAAATCGATTTAATACATCGACATTTGTTGTGTGATCTGTCCAGGGAATTTTAAGTAGTCTTCTAAGTACCCACATTTCAAAGGCCTCCAATCGGTTCATCACATTGGCCTTTATGGTCCAGGTTTCTACACCATATAGCAGTATGGAGTAAATGTAACATTTTACAAAGCGATATCGAAGCGTTAAGTTAATGCTGCTATTGCTTAGCAAGGTTCTCATATTAGTAAATGCTGTTCTGGCTTGCTCAATTCTGCTACGTATCTCTATGTCTGGATCTAAATCTTCAGTTATTCAACTACCGATATATCTGAACTTGGGGACCTTTTGGATGTTCTTATTGATTAACTCTTATATTTAATTGCATATTTCGTGTTCTACTAACCACCATTACCTTCGTCTTGTCTATATTAATCTTCAAGCCCAGTCGTTCTCCTTCAGTGTTTATTCTATCTATCAGTCGTTGTAGCGCTTCTTGGCTATCAGCTATTATGACTGTATCATCAGCATAGCGAAGATTACTAATAGTCTGTCCGTTGATTTTGATTCCGTCTTCAGTGTCACTTAAGGCTCTATCGAAAATCGTTTCAGAGCAAAGATTAAAAAGGAGGGTGACAGAACACAACCCTGTCGTACACCTTTTTCGATTGAGAAATATGATGTAGATTCCAGTCCTACTCTCACAGATGCCACTTGATTCATATAAAGGTTCTTTATGATTCTAAGGTCATTCTCATCTATCGAACGTTCCTGGAGCAATCTTACTAATTCTGAATGATTAACACAATCGAACGCTTTCTGATAATCTATAAAGCATAGGAAGACATTTTTTGCTGATCTCTGTATTTCTGAAGTAGGACAGTTAAGCTATAAAGTGCTTCTCTTGTGCCAAATCCTTGTCTGAAACCGAACTGTGTGGGGCTAATGTCTCTTTCACATCTGTTGTATATTCTTGTGTGAGAATTATCTTTAAGAAGAGTTTTAGGACCTGGCTCAATAAGCTGATCATTCGGAATTGGTCGCAACTATTAGCATTTGGCTTTTTTGGGATTGGTATATAGGTTGATTGAAGCCAATCCTGTGGTATTTGACCGGACCCATAAATATCATTAAAAAGATCTACCAAGGCGTCTATATTGTCTTTTACTCAACATTGTTAGAACCTCTATGTATATGTCGTCTGTGCCTGGTGCTTTTCTCCATTTGCTCTTAGTAAAATAAAAGTAAAACCAGTAAAAGTAAAGTAAAACCATTAGATATCTATAAATGTTTTCTCAATTTTTGTACTAAGTTTGTTTGTTTGTTTGTACTTTATTACTAAGTATTATTGGTAAGATCTACATATACTTTTTTATTTACTAATTTTCTTATGTCATTGAAGGTAATATGTACAGTGACTCACAGCTTAAATAATGCAGTAGTTACTTAATAAAACTAGCTTGTGTCAGTGGCTCAATATTGATTAGAAAAAAAAAATTACATACTGAAATTAAATTACTACAAGTCTTTTAAATTATTATTGGGTTTCAAATATACCATACTTAAATAACAATAAATATTTAATTATTTTAAGCATGATTTTGATGTCACAGCTAAAATTATACAAACTATAAAACAAGAAAATGAATAAACGAAACAAACTCTACGCGTTAAAACATGATTGCTAATTTTTGTAGGTCCTCCTTCATTATCAATGACAGCCTGCAGTCGTCTACAGATTGTCTCAAAGTGACTAATCTGTACAGGATAAATGCACAACATCGATCATACTTCTTTGCAAACTTGTATTAAAATAAACGTCAGTTCTTACTACTTAGCCTAATCCATCTTTTGTATTAAGGGTAGCTTAAGTACTAATGCCCACTAACGACCCTGCCTAGCTTCCTTCTGTCAGTGGTTCTCAAACATAAATAATATTTGCTACAACATACTTGGGTTAAATTAAAATAAAATAGAAATTAAGAAATGCCTTTTATTTATGTCACGCAAGCAGTTTGTTTGTAATTCTACAGTATGTGCTAGCGATACAAACCATTTGTTTATAGATTTAAATAAAATCGAATAAAATAAAGCTAAAATATAAAGAAACATTTTATTTATGTATTGTTCCGTTTAAAAGTTAAGGGGGGAAAGACTTTTGAAAACACACTGTATATGTTGGCAGTAACAAAACGTAGAAATATCCGAAAATAAAACTAATAAACTAATAAGTTGAAAATAAAAGTCATTGTATTTAATTTCGTGTGTAAGTAATAGTAATTGTACACCATTATATTTAGTTCCTTTTTCTGTCAATCGTTGTCACATTTAGTTTCTAGCTTAACTATCATCATCATCATCATTATTATCGTCACTGTCATCACTATCTCCGTAATTTATATTTATAATAATTGGTTCGATATCATCCAACAAATTGTTAATTTCCCACATTTTTTTTCTGTTGCTATTACATGGTTTACTTAGTTTTTCCATTTTTCTGGCGTAATGACCTGGTACACTGCTGTAAGTAAATTTCGCATTACAGCTTTTTTAAAATTCGCGTTGCGTCCAGCTATATACCGTTTCACTTCACTCCAAACCATTTCGATGAGATTGAGTTCACAGTGATGTGGTGTGAGTCTCAGAATCTTCACATTGTGCTTTTTGGCAATATATTCTATTATGTACCTGTCATATTTTGCTTTGAAGGCCTTCACTACATCAAGTAACTCGCATTTTAGGTAGGTTTCAAAAAATAGGTCCTTTGACAGAAGCCATTCTTAAATATCTTTTTTAAATGTTAAACTGTTGGGAATTTGTTCTGACTTTCTGCTGTGATAGGAGGCATTGTCCATTACCACAACAGTTTTTTCTGGCAAATTTAGCATTAAGTTATTTTCGAACCCATCTTCGAAGGTCGGTCCATCCATTTCGTCGTGGTAGTCCTGAGTATTTTTCTTTGCCAAAAACGTGAGCTCTGCTCCATCAACAAATCCACTGGTAGATTCTGCATGCAATAAAACGAACCGTGCACCACGAGCTGTTGGAGCTTTTAATCCTGTTGTTAGACCACGAACAAAAGCATCGCGATGAGATGTAATTGTTTTATCAACCCATTTTTTTCACACTGTGCACGATATTTACCCATGATTCATCCAAATACACTATGTTGTATCCTTTTGCACGGTATTTACGAATTGCGCGCAAATAACGATGACGCCACGAGATGATTTCAGAAAATCCATATCACTCAGCAAGCGATGTAGCGTGGCCCGTGAAAAGTTGGGCAAAATCTCTTCGATATTTACAACAGCTAATATGGTGTTTATTGTTGGTGGTATGTTGTCACGAAGAAATTGATGAAGTATTTTACGAATTTGGCCCCTGACAGCTTCATCGTACTTGTCACGAGAATTACGAACCTTTCGCTTCTTGGGCCTGCTCGTTGGAGATTGTAATCCAGCAGGTGATGAATATTCCTGTCGTATGCGAAACAGAGTCTTTTCGCAAACACCACTCATTTCTGACACATTCCTAATTACACTTGATACAGAATCGTTGTTATCCTGATTAATATGATAATTAATATTGTTCATTAGTATTTGATTTTCTGAAGGTTTCAGAGCTTTTCCACGTTTCCATTGAACAATTTCCTCCATTTTGCGGTGAAAATTCGGCGTCAAAAATAACAATAGCCAACAACGGAAAATAACAATAATTACCAACAGCAAATCACAACAACAGCCACAAACAAATAATAACAATAACAAAACAGTAACAGTACATCCAAGATGGTACAAATAATCGTAACTCGAATATGTTTATGCGAAGAACAAATAAAGGCTAATTAAGGCGCTGGATGTATCAAGCTTTTA